ACCAAAAGGTTGCAGTACTTCAGCAGACCACCTCCTCTGATTTCTTCTGGGCTTGGTTGGGGTGAGCAGACACAGTGAAGGAGAAATTTCTTGGATCTTTGTCTTGATTTGCTCATTTTGTCTTTCTGATTATAGGAGGCTTATGTGCAGAAAATGGTAAAAGTATGCAATGATTCAGACCGATGGAGTCTTATCTCCCTGTCCAACAACAGTGGCAAAAATGTGGAGCTGAAATTCGTGGACTCTCTGAGGCGGCAGTTTGAATTCAGTGTCGATTCCTTTCAAATCAAGCTGGACTCCCTGCTCCTTTTTTATGAGTGCTCAGAGAATCCGATGACTGAAACTTTTCACCCGACTATCATTGGCGAGAGCGTTTATGGGGATTTCCAGGAAGCCTTTGATCACCTCTGCAACAAGATAATTGCCACCAGAAACCCAGAAGAAATCAGAGGAGGTGGTCTGCTGAAGTACTGCAACCTTTTGGTAAGGGGCTTTAGGGCAGCCTCTGAATCTGAGATTAAATCCCTGCAGAGATACATGTGTTCGAGGTTTTTCATTGACTTCTCAGACATTGGCGAACAGCAGAGAAAGCTGGAGTCCTACTTGCAGAACCACTTTGTGGGATTAGAAGACCGCAAGTATGACTATCTCATGACCCTTCACGGTGTGGTGAATGAGAGCACAGTGTGCCTGATGGGACATGAGAGGAGACAGACTCTGAATCTGATCACCATGTTGGCTATCCGGGTCCTAGCCGAGCAGAATATCATTCCCAACGTGGCCAATGTCACCTGCTATTACCAGCCAGCCCCATACGTAGCAGATGCCAACTTCAGCAATTACTATATTGCCCAGGTTCAGACGGTGTTCCCTTGCCAGCAGCACACATACTCCACTTGGCTGCCCTGTAATTAAGAACCAAAATTAGTAGACCCCGTGGAGAGAACTTTCTCTAAGATGTAGGAAGGGGCGACGGGTCCCTCTGAAATGGGGTGTTTCGTGCAATGATGATCTGCTCTAGTTTTCAAGCTTGGGACAAGCTTGTGGTTCTTCTAATAATTAATGGGAGCATGATCAAGAAAGAACCCCAAAATAATTGGATCCTACCCCAGAGCACAAGAGGCCTGTCATTAAAAGCAACCAGCTTCTCCTGAAATAAGTGTGGGAGGAATGCTTGATGACAATATGGGTTGGCAATATCTGCTCCCATAGCTTTGGCATAGAGAAGGTGGGAAAGCCTTATTTTCTTTTATTTTTATTCTTACTCTAGAATGGGATCTGCAAAAGGGAGAATATGAAAGAAACAAAACAAAACAAAAAAAAACAACAAAAGAAAAAAACTTCACAAAAAACAGCTCTATATATATTCAGGAGTTAAAAGTTAGAGGCATAAAGCAGAGATAAGCTGAATAAAGTTGTATATTGGAATTACTGCATTTGGGGCTTGCAGCAAGTGCCGTCTATGGATTGACCGTGTAGAATGTATAGCTTGCTTGACTAGAATGCTTTACCAGAAACAGCTTGCTCCAAATGAACAGTAGTGGATTGGTACAGTTATAAAAACAGAAACACGTACGATGACAAAGTCCATTATTTCCAGCTGTGTGCATGCCTCACATTTTAAAAATGTGAGAATGCTGGAAAACCAGCTGTGGCAAGAAGTATATACTTAAGGACCAAAGATTTCACAAAAAAGTTATCCAAGCAAAGAAGATACAGTAGAGTATATATATATAAATATATATATATGTAAAAGGAGATGTTCCTATATTTGTACACACCAATAGTAATCAAAAGTGCCTGATGCCTTCATAAAATTTGAAGTGAGAAAAAAAAAAATATAGTTTTGTGGTTTAACCATGCATTTTCTTTTATCAGGGACACAAGGATTAAAAAAAAAAAAAACAAAAACAAACAAACCAACCCATAAGCTTGTGAATAAGTGGTGGAGGAAATGCCCTATTTTTTTTCTTGGCAAATACCTGTATAGAGTTAATGTTTTGTCGGTGTGCTATTATCCTAGGTACGTGTGTGTATGTGTGTATATATGTTTGTGTGTGTATATATGTACATGTTATTGGTGTATATCTATATATATACACACACAATATATATTAATGTGGTCTAGGAAAATGTAGCAATTAAGGAATGTTTAAATAAAGTACTACTTGTTTTCCAGTTTGCAACAGGATGTCATAGGACAGTGGGCACCTTGCAGTGAAATTTTAACCCACACCTGAGAAATTTGGAGTAAATGAACCAGTCAGGATTAAGGTGGGATTCAGATAATGTCTTTGGTTGCAAGAACAAGGATTACAGTAATTCAGTGGGTTGCTTGTGAGCCATAATAATTCCACAGACGGAGAAACATATGACTAGCTGATTTTTTTTAAACTGTTTTGTACTGTAATGCCATTTTGACATTTAACCCACTAATGTTGTGACTGCATACCTCCATGATGTGTAATTTCAGTGGAACGTGGATCAAAGATAGGTTTATTTAAACCCCCTGACAGCTAAAGAATATTGTATTAGTTGGTAATTTGAACACTAATTGTTAATATTTAAAGGAGTATTTTTAATAGAATGCATTGTGCATTCCAGGACCACTAGAATTTAGCAAATGTGAAATGAACCCTTTTTAAGAGTGTTGCACGATTGCTTAAAATTATATTTTATATATATATTATATATATATATATATTTTTATGCAAATATTAAACATCTTTGATCTGGTTGTCACACTGCATTTACAATTTTAGTACTGTACTTTATTTAAATGGAATCACTTTACATTGGAACAATAGCTATTCACTTTCATTTCCTCTCCCGAAAGACCAGCAGGGGGGAAAAAACCAACCTCCGCTGCTGTTTTCACTTCAGTGCCATCTCTGAAGGTGTTAAATTCTTTGTTGTGCTTTGAAAACCTAATGACTAAGTGACACTTGACTCTGATATTTTGCTTATTCTTTCTGAGGGGGGGAAAGAAAAAGGGAATTCAGGCTTTTGAAGGAAATCTGTCTGTGCCCTGCCTGCCTGGTCAGAGGCACGGTCTGGCACTGGAGTCAGGGGCAGAGAGAAGGAGAGGACTCGTGTCCTGGCAGTGTATTTTCCCTATGGAGCGAGTAAGGTACATCTATTTTTGTCGCGCTTTGTACTTTTCACTCTGCAGGCACTTTAATAGGAGCCCGATTTGTTTACTGAAGCACCTTCCCTGCGAGTCCTTCAGGAAACTTAAAAGCTGGTCCATTGCCATTCCTGGCGTTGACGTGCAGACCTTGTCCCCACCTTCCCTTCCTTTGGTGCTGGCTGCAGCCTCCCAAGGGCTTCTTGTCCCGGCGAGGTTCCCTCCAGCCCCCCGGAGGGTCCGGGCTGGCTGCTCCTGGCCCACTGGCTCCCCTTACCTCCTGCTCCTGGCTTGCTAGCGGAAGCAAGGGGAGGGCTGGGGAAATAGGATCAGCTGGTAATGTGGTATGTCTTCTCTCCCACAACTATTTACAGCAAATAAATGAGTCATCCTCTCTTTAAAAAAAGGGTTTGAGAATCTGTAGCTGTGCCACAACCACAGAATGCTGATAATATGTGATACAGTGCTGTTTTTCTTTGAAAGACCCTTTATTTTTACCATTGCTTGAAAGAAAGTTTTGAATTACTTCTTCTCAGCTCAAATCCTACTGTGGGTTGGGTTTTTTTTTTTGGTTTTTTTTTGATTGACAGCAGCTAGTTACCTTGTAGTGCGTACAGCAGGGCTCTGAGCTAAACTGCACCTTTTGGCATTTGCATTTTGATACATATATAATATGTTTTTATATATATTATATAGGTATTCCAGACCTGTTTTACATATGTTAATGATCAAGTGGTGGAACTGGTGGAGCTTTGTTTTATTTGTGACTGGTGGCTTAAAATGTGCCTGGTGTTAGAGGTGGGAAGAAGGCATGAGTTCAGGCCAAGAGTAAAATAAGAACCCCTTTTCAAAGCTGGTTTATTTCTGTGGTTTGCACACCTTTCCCTCCATAAAGTCTGACTTCTTTTTAACTGTTTTTTTCCCCTACTCTTGGGCACACTGGTACTTCTAAAGTTAATAACCGTGTTCTTGCTTTGTAGACTTGATCTATCCCATCCAATCAGCTGTAAGGTTAGAGCTTGTGCTACAGAAGACAGTGCCCCTTTTAAAGAGCTGAACTGATTAAAGACATTGACCTGATTACAGTAAAACTGTTTGTGCCACAGCTGAATTTCCTGCTAACCAGCAGGGCGCTAAACTTGGTTAAATGTAACGATCATGAAATAACCAAGAGATTTTAAATGGGATTTTTTTCTTCTTCTTTTTTTTTTTTTCCTTAGATGTAGCTGTCCTATCAAGTACAAGATCATTTCTCCTAAAAATAGAAGGGCAATTAGAAGACAAAAAAAAGATGATATTTTTCTAGTTTCTCGTATTGCACTTAAAATATTTTTTATCTTGCACAAAGGCCTTCACACAAATCCTCTAAACAGCTCTTACTAAATGCTTGGTTTGCATCACATCAGAAGCTCCTACCAGTTCAAAAAAGGCGCTTTTTTCATTGATAAAATGAAGTGTGTTAGATAAAACTGCACAGAAAAGGAAAAATTGTATTTGCATATTCAGCTCCTATTTGAATATATTCTTTTGTATGGTTTTCTTTATGCAGAGAATTTCCCTTGCAAGAAAGAAAATCAGTGTACTGTTTTGCTGTTGTAATAGTGGTTTGCTAACAAAATAAATAGTAAAAAAAAAAAAAAATAGCCTGCAAATTTCAAGACAGCTTGGCTAAAGGCACTGCAGGCTCCTGCAGTCTGTAGGAGTCTGTGCAGATTTGCTTTCCCTCAAATTTCCTTACAACTGTTGCCTTCTGCAAGGCATCCTGTTGAAGCAAACTGCTCCTTGGATTGCTCTTTTGGAACATTTTGACTATAGGCTTTGTCATAGACAGAAAAAGAGCTGATGGAAAACAGACTCTAGAGGGAACAGATTGTGAATTTTGTTTACAGCATCCAATATTTGGATTTTTTTTGTAAATAAAAAGAAGTTATTTTTTTCTATTGATTTGTGTCTGCTGTCTTCCGTGTCTGAAATAGCTTTGGCCTGCTCCTACTGAATACCAAGTTCGCTTTCATTAAAAGAGGACAAGGGCAGCACTTTTCTGAGAAGAGTAGCATTCGGCTGCTTTCCGATTGGAGCGCAGAACATTTTGAAAAGCCCTGCCTCGTGCCAGCTGAGTTTGGCTGGCTGTACTCGGCTGCAGAGGAACCTCCCCAGCCACTGCCAAAAATACACACTCCAGCACCAGTTGGGCTGTGCAAATGGTCCAAAACATGAAAATGAAACGGCGCCATGGCAACCCCGCGCCCTCGCTGCCCTCCCACTTTAGGTCGAGGGACCGGGGCTTTGTGACAGCTGTGATCAGTGCACCACCAAGCAGGAATCCTGCTGGCAGGAATGGGGGTCCTGGTGTCCTTGAGGTATATTTGGTAGGGCTGACGTCTCCACCTGACCATTTTGGTAGGCCCAGGGGGCAATGGTGTGCTGCTGCCTGGCTGTAAAGGTGGTGCCAGCTGTGGCCCAGGGGTGCTGCAGGTCCGGAAGCTTGGGGTGCTGCTGGAGAGAAGGGATGCACATGCCTGATTGATTCAGCTGCTGAATCAGTCCACTTCTTCCTGCAGATTCAATGTTTACTCTTCTTCCCTGCCCTACAATGCTGCCCTTGTCAGCAGAGGTATTTTCTGTTTTCTGTGTTTACAGGAGAGATGCCTCAGTAATGAAGGCTAATTTCCTCAAAAAGCACTTCAAGGGAAAATAAAATACTAATTTACAATGCTCATGGCAATACTTTTTCAACCACGGTGCCTCAGACTGACCCAAATTTGAAAAATGTTGGCTAAGAGTCTGCAGGACGTAGCTCTTACTAGGCTCATTCATACACCGTGCTGGCCTTGGAAGTCTCAAACTGGCTCAGTGGGAATGTGAATATGCTTATTGTAATGATGAGTGAACCTGTATTCCTCTGTAAAAAAAACCAAACAAACAAGCTGGTGGGATTGCTCTTTTTTTCCAGGCACAGGAGCAGCCCCCTTGCTGAATCCTGGGTGCCTTCTGCACAGTGCCTCTTTCGAAATCGGCCTGGCCAGGAGAGGGGGATGCACTCAGTATCCCTGCCTGTACAGCATCATCTTTCCTCCCATCTTACTGCCAAAAAAGGGAGGGGCACGTGGCCTAACCTTTCCTCCTGCTAACTTGCTCAGTTAGGAAATATTTCAGGCAGTTTGACAAAGGCAACTACCCAAAGACACAGATGGAAACTGGGGGATTTGAAATCATCTAAATCTAAATGCCTTTGCTTGTATCTCAAAATCAAAGCCCAGATGGATGCTCTTATGCTTTGGAGTGAGTTAATTCCCATTTCTCTGCTTAAATTTGGGGGGACTTTTTTGAGAGCCGGTTGAGTGTCTGGAGCATTGCGAGTCCTCTTTCCCAAACTGGGGAGGAGTGTGATGTGGACACTTTAGAATGCTCATTTCAGAATGGTGTGATTCTCAGGAGGGAGGAAGCAGACAAATACTGAAGAGGAGGGACTGAAAAAGCAAAGTGGGACAGTGTAAATCACCTGAACAACAGCACTGTGGAAAGCTGGAGGACACACTGATAGATTACAGTAGGAGAGGAGAAATAGCTCAAGTCTTTAACTTCTGTTCACCCTGCTAAAATAAGTCAGATCAGACAAGCTGTCACTTATCAAGATAAGTTACAGTCTGTGGTTTTCCTTGGCTGCAGCAGCACATATTTATTATATTGCCATAAAAAAAATTACGCAGGAACCCCTTTACTCAGGAATGAAACTGAGGTTCTTGTTTTTATAGAATTATTTAGGTTGGAAAGACTTTTAAGATCATCAAGTCCAACCATTTACCCATCACCACTAAATCATGTCCCTAAGTACTATATCTACTTATCATTAAATACCTCCAGAGATGGTGACTATATCACACTTCCTAGGGCAGCGTGTTCCAATGCTTGACAACTTTTTTGGTGAAGGAATTTCTTCCTAATATCCAACCTAAACCTCCCCTGGTGCAACTTGAGGCCATTTGCTCTTGTCTGTGAAACCTCTTCAGTGAGTTTTGTTGAAGTTGCACACACTTTCTTCCCAGGTGTTTGTGTGGATCTAGTCATGCCTTCCTGAGGCTGCCACCAAGCAGCCTCCTCCCTTTTATTGATGTGTTTTTAGTAGAATTCAGTGCATGTGGCTGTATGTCCTTAGGTAAAGCACAGCTATATGCTGTTGCATTGGAGCTGATGTAGTTTTGCAGCAATGCCCTGAATATCTATAGGTGTGTGTCAGAAGTACCTCTGCAGTGGGGCTCTAGTGTGCATGCAAGGAACAAGAGCACAAAATCAAAATCTGTACATTAGAGAAGAAATATTCACCCTTCAAAAGCCTAATAAGCTATCACAAACAGACTCATCTCCTACATACTTACATAGCCTTAGGCTGTCTAGAGAGTGTGTTTTGTGGATGCAAAATTTCGCTATTTCATGTGGCTGCTGTGACAGAATGTGCAATGACAGAAGTTTCCAGAAAACTTTCTTTTTTTCACTGTTTGGGAAAAAAACCCCTATGTCCTAAATACACACCTAAATATTGTGTGCATAACATGGATATTCCCCATGGTGAGAACATTCCTTAGATTTCCATAATGGCTTTGACGGCATAAATTGCTGTTTTTCAAG